TGGTGCCTGGCAGTCCTATGCAGCAGGTTCTACGTGGTGAACATGGCGAACGTGCTGGAGAAGGGCATCGTAATGCAGTTCCCGGAGGAAGTGAAAGTAAGAGCCCAATGGACGACCCATGGCTGACCAATGACCCTTGGAGGAATAAGAATTGGCAGGTGAACGCAACTTCAGGAGAATGGCAATCCTCTCGAAGCTCAGATCATGGGTCGCAATGGAGTTGGCGATCGTCTCAGTGGAGCAGTCGAACTTAGGATCGATGACAAAATTAAGATATTACGTCATCAGAGCGTGGAGACGGATGGTCAGATCCAGGTTGGCGATCTGACTGGAATTGGAAGCATGAAAGCGACACTGCAGGTGACGAGAATTAGTCGATACTATCTGATGGACGAGCGCTATCCCGAGATGAGCATGGACAAAATCGACATTGTGGAGAACTTCGACGAGACAATTATAGACTTTTTGGCGGGAATGATGGAGCCCTGTCACCGGTGTCACCACAGGCAACTAGGGCGAAGGATCCGGAGAACAAGCCCATGGGAGACGTACCTAGTGGTGTTCCTTCGGTGGCCGGAAACCAGAGTCAACAGGCAACGGGTACGACGGGGAAGTTGAGCTCATCGTACCCTCCGATCTTCTATATGAGACCGGGAGAGAGCTGGGAGCAATACTGGAGGAGCGTCACCTTTTGGGTGGCCTCAGAAGGTAAGTCCTTGCCCCAGGAGATGCAAGGACCCCGACTCATGCAGCAGTTGCGTGAGAGAGCAGGGAAGATCGTGCAGCACTTAACGGTGGAGGAAGTTTCCGGAGCCGATAGAATTCAGAGGATTAAGCAGGAAATGGAGAGAAGCCCCATCATCAAACTTCTGGACCAGAAGAAGGTAGACCAAAGGAGACAGAAGTTCATGAAACCCACCCGCTTGCATGGAAAATCAATTGAAAGTTTTTTGAATCGCGCTGAAATTTACCAGCGTGAGAACCAGTCTTCACCCGCCTATCAGGTGGGATCGAAGTTTTACATTGGACATCTTTTGGATGCAGCCCGCTTGACCAAGAGGGACTTGGCCCTGGTGAAGGCTGCAAGTCAAGGTACTCTGGAGGATGAGGACCTTTGTGACCACCTCGCTGATGGACTTGGCAGAGCAGTTGGAGGGACAACCAGGATGTCCAATTGGCCGTGGCGAACCGACCTTGGACCAGGAGGACAAGTACCTGGTGCAGAAGGCGACTACATCTTCCAGTATGACATCACCATTGCAGAGCTCTACGGCGACACCTGGAGTGAGGAAGAACCGAAGGAAGTTCTTCGGGAGACGACGTTTTCGGGATGCGCTGATGGCAATCCTGGAAGATGAGGACGGAGCTGATGAGGATGGATTGGACGACGAGACAGTTATGCCAGATGGCATTGGCGACGAATCAGTTTATGAGGAGGAGGACGATATGACTTCGTTCGGTGGGTCGTCAACGCAGGCAACCTCTGTGATGGAAGCTTCGTCGGCTGGAACTATGTCGTCTACTACCTCTTCTACGGCTTCGACATCAGACGCATTTCTGGCAGAGATTTTCGCACAGGAGTACAAAGCCAGGAATCGCGTGCGTGAGATCAAGAAGATGAGACAGTACTTCCAGAAGGAAGGACATGCACCAGGAGGGCCACAAGGCGACAAAGATCGAGAACAAGTGAAGCGATGGGTGAAGCAGCAGCAGAAGACGGAACCCTGCTTCATTTGTACCCTGAGGCTCTGTGACCACAAATAAGTAAAAAACAGCAATGTACCTAAAATACAGGGTCATCTCCGTAAAAGCCCAGATTCAAGGTCATTTGTCGGTTTTTTTCGGAATTTGTCGGATTTGTGGGGTTTGAGGGTCTGATCTGGTAATATCAATGCCATTTCTGCTCTGACAAACATGTTTTAGTTGTCTTTTCAGACATCGCCGTACCAAACCGGACCAGTACTTCATCATTACTCTATTTCATCAACAAGGTTACAATTTCGGGTGCATGGAATAGATATACTGACTACGTCTGACTACCTTATAATTAATGGATCATCCCGGGGTGTCCACCTTAAGTGTCTTATACTTATGTTGACTTATGTTCTTTAGTGGTATGAAGTAATATCAAACAAATATGACATGTGCAATTGTCTTATACATAATGGTTGCTATTCTGTTCCTTCCTGTTATGTGACACTCATCCATGCTGGCTTTCATCAAATTCCCAGCTCACAAACGGTGGTAATACGGTGGTAATATAATAGCGTCTGGGGTGTTGGCATGCCATGAGGACCCGTGATGGACCATGTCGAAAACATGACGTAGCGTGACGTAGCGTGACGCAGCGTGATTCACCGTGATTTTTCGTGATTTTTCAAACATAGTCTACTTTTTACCTTTAAAAATTGGGTCATTTGTCGGAACCGCGTGACGGAGCGTGATGTAGCGTGACACAGCGTGACGGAGCGGGACGGACTGTGAAGGGGCATGGATGGAGGTTTATTATGGTTTATTGAGATTTGTTTTTGGCACATGGCCCTTGATATTCGATAGTGTTGTCCCCCGAACAATTGTTCTTCGGAGTGCTCACCCACAAATATTTGTTTGGGAATGTTTGGGGCATGGTCTGGTTAGGATTGCTCCCCATCAAACTCGTAATCAAGAGTTCATCCACCAACACATATTCATTTTGAATTGTTTCCCCATCACACCAGACACTAAGGCGCTGATTTTGTAGGGATTGGGCCAGGTTTCCATGGATATGTTATGGTTTAGTTCAACCCTACCTCATATTTCTGAAAATATCATGGGGGAATCCATTGGTGATTCCAAGATGGTGCTTCTAAAGGCTCTTTGGTGTTAAATCCGAAATTTTTTGGTCCATAATGGGCGCAATCACAACCAGGATCTGAACAGTTTTTGGTGACCAGTGTTTCCGCTATTTTTTAACGGAAATAGGGCTCCCGCAAATGGACCTAAATTTCAGGGCCGGGACCTATTATATAGGGTCGGGACCTAAAAAACGCTGTTTACCACAAATGTCATCATATAGGTGCAACATTCGATCCACTGGGGTAGGCAGTTGGGACATTGGTCGCAGGAGTGCCCGTATAGAAACAAGGCACCAGTGCATGCGACCAATGTCACATTTCCCACGGGCAACAGACAAGCTGATGCCGACTGGGATTTCCTCCGACAGTGCGCCCAGTCCGAGTCGATGTACAAGAGTGCACCACAGAGGGGGGGGAGGCCTCGAAACACCTTTATGACTACTTCGTCTTCTACATCCATTACCACTAATGAGGTTTATTGGTCATTGACGGAGTTGGGGGACAAGATGATTTTGGATTTGGGGTGTATGAAGACGGTGGCAGGGACGACATGGGTCAACCCCCTGGTTTTGAAATGGAAGAGAAATGGGTGGTACTGCAAGGTTGTCCCTGAGAAGGAATCGTTTCGTTTTGGGGATGGACACATCAACCAAAGCAAGTTTGCAGTGATCATCCATGTGAATTTAGCCGGCATCCCATGTCTTTTGAGGATTTCTGTCGTTGCGGGGAATTGTCCACCATTGTTGTCAAAGCCTGTGTGCACAACCTTGGGTCTCATGGTTGACACGTCAGCGCATGCAGTGACATCTAAGAAGTATGGCATCAAAAGGTTTGGACTAAGTCAATCGGCAGGAGGTCACTATGTCATTCCGATTGATCAGGTGTCAGACATGCAACCAGTTCCCAGTGATTTCAGTTTGCAGCCACAACATGAAGTGTTTCCGCTGGTGCCCAGTGGATCAACGGTGAAGGAGTCACCAACCTCGCGCCCCACCGTCCTGACTGTGCACTCGGTGTCGGATGATCGACAACAGCCCATGGGAGAACGTCGGGATGCTGGAGGACGAGACCCACGCCATCTCGTCCGACGAGGATCAGGATCCGCAGAGGAGGACGTCGAGAGCAGTCAGACGCCGGGCATCGAGAACTTTGTCGGAGAGCCGACATCGATCACCGAGCAGAACGCCACAGATCTCCAAGGAGATGGTGGAGATGCAGGCACAGATGGCTCAGATGGCAACGATGATGATGGAAATGCAGGAGATGGCAACAGCAGCCAAAGCCAAAGCGAAGAGCCGGAGCAAGGCGGCGGGATCTGGTCAGACCGCCCCCAAGGAGAACAAGAAGGCGGCCCTGACAGGTCGGGAGGCCGATTTCCCGACTCTGTCACATCGCTACAGCTACGACGTCACCTTCAACATCCTCGGCAGCATCACGGAGCAGGCCCTGACGTTCAAGTGGAAGCTTTTGCTACTTATGCTGAGGATGAAACAGGCAGTGGAGGCAGACAAGTCAACCAGGAGGAGATGGAAGAGGAACCCGAGATGGATCATGCACATGAACGGCAGATTCCTGGCGGGACTATGGGGCCATCTGGGCAGCGCCCGTCAGTTGTGCTTCAACCCGAAGGTCTACCCGCTGGCTCTAGCCGACACGGAGGAGAAAGAGAGCAAAGACAAGCGCAGAGGTTCCAAGGGCTCCAACTGACGGATCCCAATGCCACGACGACTGCAGAACAACGGAGACGTGCAGCCGAGCGGTTGGATGTCGTGTTAGAAGGCCAACTATGTCCTGGAGGAGACCTTCATGAGGAGCTACATCAAACTGGAGACCTTTCTGAGGAGCTACATCAAACTGGAGCTCAGCGTCTTGGTGGAGCCCTTCTTGAGGAGCTACTTCAAAGTGGAGATCTTGGTTCCGGAGGAGCACAGTCTGAGGAGATGCCAACATTTCAGACAGAGGTCCAACCAAAAGGAAAGAAGATCACTTTGAACAGACGTCAGACGAGGAGCATCCGGCAGGGTGTCCAGAAGGCTCTGCGGATGCAACACCGTATATATGAAGCCGCACAGATGAAGAGGCGGCCTTGGACTTTGTTGGAGGTCTTCGCAGGAAAGGCTACGTTGTCCTCAATGGCCAGACAATCACCTGAATGGGAAGTACTACCACCTCAGGATGTACTATATGGACTGGACCTGCTCAAGGAGGAGCACGTGCAGTTGCTGAAAGATGTCATTGAGAAGCAACGTCCGGATGTGGTGACCTTGTCACCTCCATGTGGTCCGTGGAGCTCTTGGCAGAGGATAAGGAAGAGAAAGGATCTTCTACAGGCTCTACGTCGTGAACACCAGCCCTTTTGGGACCTTGTGTGCTGGATCTGGGCCTTTCAGAACACGCATGGTGGAATTGTTGTGTTGGAGCAGCCCAAGCAAAGTGATGCCCTCAAAATGCCCAAGATGACACGGAGAGAACGTGTGTATGAGAAAGAGGTGCACATGTGCCAATTGGGGTTGGAGGACGTGGTGAGCGGTGCTCCACACAAAAAGGCCACAGCGGTTCAGATGAACCATCCTATGATTTGCACGACGCTTTTTCCTGAGAAGAAGTGTGACCATCCACCTGGAGCACATCAACCTCTAGAAGGATCAGTGGCAGTATGGGATGAGACAACGAGAAGGTACAAGGCAGTCAGAAGGTCGACGCTTGCAGCGGAATGGACACCGTCATTCTGCGATTGGTTGTTGGGCGGCTTGGAAGCTATGCAAGAGGAGTCTGCACAGGTGTTTCACCTGGAACTTCATCGGGAAGTACCAAGTACAAAGCTGTGGGAAACGGTTCCGACAGAGCTGGAGCAGACCCCAGAGGGACAAATCCGACAGCACCTCCAGCAGAATGAGTTTGGCACCAGGTACGACTACATCAGTTTTTCAGGGACGGCAGCAATGGTGAGTCGCACGATGAGGTCAACTCTGGCTCATCTTCATGTGGCTTTGGGCCATGTTAGCAATGCCAAATTGAAAAGAATGATGCTTTTGAATGGCGCCAAACCGGAGCTGGCCGAGATCATAGATCACTTGGAGTGCCAAATATGCAAACAGGTACAGAGCCCGATGGCAACACCAAAGGCAGCCTTTCAGCGGCCAATGTGCTTCAATGAACGCATCCTGTCGGACACGTTCTATGTGTGGGATGTGGAGGAGACCAAGTTTGCGGTGACCCACATCATTGACGCCTTCTCGCTCTACCAGATTGCCACGGCGGCCAAGGACCCATCGGCAGAAACCTCGGTCGAGTTGATCCGAGACCGTTGGTTAGGGGTATTTGGCCCTCCAGCGGTCCTCATGACGGATCAGGGCAGTGAGTTCAAGGGAGAGATGGAGCCATTGCTGGCAACTTTTGGAGTATTCCATGAGATGGTGCCCCCTACAGCTCATTGGAGGATGTCATTGGCTGAGCGGCATGGAGCGGTGTTAAAGGTATTGCTGATGAAGATCATCAAGGAACAGTCCATTGTGGGATTGGGGCAATTGCAGATGGCTGTTGTAGCTGCAACGGCGGCGAGAAATAGCCAAGCCAGAGTGTCTGGCTTTGCCCCTACTCAGTTGGTCTTTGGGAAAGACACCGCCATGCCCACGAACCTCATGGAAGCGCTAGCAGGACAGTTTCACTACCAGCTGGCGAGACCTACATCACCTGAAGATTCCTTCTACCGAGCTAGCCAGATCAGAAAGGCAGCTTCGGATGCCTTCCAGTGGATGGAGGCGAGCGACGCACTGAAAAAGGCAGCAGGTTCCAGAGCTAGGCTGCCCAAACTGGAGTTGCTCACAGAAGGAGCTCAAGTGATGTTCTGGGAACCTCCGGCACACAGGAGAGGTTTGGCACGGAGGCTACAGGACAACATCTCATGGATCGGACCAGCGGTGGTGGCAGCAATCGAGAGAAAGGACGGGTCCATCAAGAGAGTCTGGGTCCGGTACAAGAACAAACTGAAAGGTGTCCCTCTTGAATTTGTACGGTTAGCTGTGGCAGAGGAACATGAGGCCACGAGCATAACCAAGGAGGCATTGCAGGAGTTAGCGAAACAATTGGATTCCGGACGAGTCAATGCAGAAGTTCCGGATACATCATCCTCTTCGTCTTCAAGCTGAGGAACACTAGCTCCAAAGGGGGTTAGTGTGAGTTGTGAGCGACTGGAAGCCGGTCACGGCCCGAGGCTAGGGTAAAAGTTTGTGTGCAGTCCTGCACTTTCAGTATTATAATTAATTAGTTTTTTCTAGTTTATTCTAATTTAATATATCCATACCATATATATATATATAAATAAGATAATTATTTTATTTCGAATGATCCCCATCATGGTATCTATATATTTTCTTACTGGCAAATTTTCTGGCATTCTATCTGACATGTCTTCTGACATCTTCTGCCATTCTATTTGGCATTCTATCTGGCATATCTTCTGGCATATGTTCTGGCATATCTTCTGGCATTCTATCTGGCATTCTATCTGGCATATCTTCTGGCATTCTATCTGACATATCTTCTGGCATTCTATCTCACAAATCTTCTGACATTCTATCTGACATCTTTTCTCACATTCTTCCCGTTGAGGTCCGGCAGTGCCCACTGCGATCTGGAAGTCGCGGTTGAGGTCCGGCAGTGCCCACTGCAACCTGGAAGTCGCGGTTGAGGTCCGGCAGTGCCGACTGGGATCTGGAGCTCGCGGTGGAGGTCCGGCAGTGCCCACTGGGATCTGGCGCTCGCGGTGGAGGTCCGGCTGTGCCCACTGGGATCTGGACTGCGAGGAGGAGGAGGAGGCGGAGGAGGTGGAGGCAGATGCGGAGGCGGAGGAGGAGGAGGAGAACAGCTCTGATAAAATCTAACAACCCTCACCTGGCAGGTGGGGAATAATTAATCAGACGTTCTCTAGGCACATTCTTCCTTTTGGCATTCGGCCCTTATCTTCTGAAACTGCACTGCTTGATGCGTATATAGCTATATATATCAAATATAACCTTTTACCTGAAAGTCTTCGATACAGGCTTTCTGCGTTGAAGGCGCCACGCAGGCACTCGAACTGCAGCGTTGAAAAGGACGCCCTGCTCTGACATTCTTCACAATCATCTGTGTTTGATCATCAATTCTCACTGGTACTTAGTAGGGAATGAGGGAATAATAATAACTATTGACCCTTCCCTTCTAATAGATTCTAAGGACCAGTGCTTGATCATCAATTTCCCCATGATTTCATGAAAGTCGTGGTAAGATTTTTATGACACACAACTGGAGGCGGCTTCGGCAGCCTGACGGATATCTACTGTGTCGACACCATCCATATGTGGACCTCAGTGATGATCGAGGTCGGAGTTCTGCCTCCTGAAATATCCCATCCGTCTGGGGTCTGGGGATAGCCAAACAATAGCCCATACCCAATGATTATAGACATTCAGAGAGTCTCTGTCCAACCTTTGGTTTCTTCCATATGCTTTAGAGATCCTCTCCCACCCAAAAAAAAACAGTGGTATAACGATTCCCCAAATGGATGTGTCCGGAATCGGAGATGGTTTCCCTATTGAAGACGGTCCATGTTTGATGATTTTGGGTCCCTCATTTTAAGAACATTCATAAGACTCCAAATGGCCCCCTTATCCAATTATTAAAAAATTACTACCTCATGCCTACCTCCATTGGGGGCAGGAATTCATAACATCAGTGGAAGTATTTTGTGCTGGGAAGGGTTCCCCCAATCAACAGTTTCATCCTGAAATTTTGAACCATCTCTATCTCTAGTGGAAACTCATCTTCCAACCCCTCCAAAAATGGCGGGTCTACGTTGATTTAGGTAGGCAAGGGGTTCGGGGGGTTGGGTGGGGCGATGTGTCCATTCTCTTCAAATGCTGGGGATTCTCATGGTTTGACACTACTTCTTGGGAACCTGCTTTCTAGCTTGGATCAAGGGCCTCTACGGGGGAGGGCGATGTTTCGGTCGTTTTTGAATTTTGGGGATTCTTATGTTGGATCGAAGTTTGCCAGCAACAATCAGGAGAAAATGTTGAAAACGACTTCTTGGATTTCTTGGGAATTAACATTGGAGCTATTTGGAACGACACTGGGCATTCCTCAAGCTGGAGGCCTTATCTCGGGTTCCGACAGCATCTCCAAGTGTGTCCCAGGCCGCTACAGATCTGGGCGCCGACAAAATGCTGAAAAACAACCCCAGTTTGACCCTCTGGTCATTTGGCAGTTTCCATCTCCATGTTCCATAGTTATTTTTAAGTACCAGAGGGTAACAATGGCTATGGATTTCCCCAAAAATCCTTAACAAGCTTTGATGGCCCCATATGAAAGAAAAGTGGCAGAATTCGCAGCATGCGGGTCAAAATCCTGGCACCCTGTAGAAAATATGAATATGACAGTACGATACACTACGTATTATCTTCTTGCTTATGGATGTTCATCTCCCCCATTGACATGGGAGCCAGAGGTTTTACATGGTTTTACATGGTCTTTTACATGGTTTTACATGATGTTTTACGTATGATTTTACATGGTTTTACGAAGCATTTCGGAAACTATACTAACCTCCAATGAGATAGAAAAGACATTTAACACTACTTGGGTAGGATTTCACTTTCCTCTATACTTGTTTCTCTTTTTTGGGGCGAACAGCAATCTCCGGGCGCTGTCATCGTCATCGGTGCCTCGCAGGGCAAGTGTTGCGCCAAGAAGGGGTTCACCTCCGGATGCTCTCCTGACGGGCCAAGCCGCCAAGCCCAACTGAGCAGTCTTCAAAATTCCTCTGTCATTCCACTGGTTGGTCAAGAACGGGATTCCCCATGAATTCTGATCATCCCCTATATTTTTTTTCAGAAGCGATATGCGGCTCATATTGAGCCACACGTACACAGCAGCGCACCCCAAGCTGGTTACTTATGTCAATTTCGGGGTAAGTCGAAGCCATCGTTCTTGGTTTTCTGCAATGGGTAATAAAATACGAAGAAATCGAGTGGTATCATACCATTGTTTCATGCTCACGAAGGAGAAATGCTTAAGTTCTGCGATGCTGAAATGTTGGTAGAAAACATGAGTAAAATGGCCTAGCAACTAGCATTGGAGGAGTATTCCTGAGAACTGAGGCCCGGTGGGCCGATTCTGCTAATGCCAACTCTGGCCAATGCGCTCGTGGCGCTCCTCTGCTAAATGGAGATAAAATGGTTCTGAGGGAGAGAGAGAGAAGGATTAAACATGATACAGTAACTGATTCAGCTGAATCTGGATGAGGATATGCCCAAGGTATTTAATCCGGGAGTCGGAGATTCGCATGGAGGAAGTAATACAGGTAGGTAAAATAGGATAAGAAAGGGAGAGGAGATATTCATTTGAGCAAGGGGAGTCAGTTGGTGACTTTTAAATTTGCAAAATTTTGCGAAGAGCTTTAAGCCGCTGTCAATTTTAGTAATGTGGGCTGGAGAGTATGTCTGGGACTCAGATCCGTGAATGGCCTGAACAATCTGGGTATAAACTCGGAGTTTGAACCGTTGGGAGGGAGAGAAGTGGGCGTCGAAAAAAATAATGGATCGAGAGTTTGAAGGCTGATGAGGCCTGAGAACAACGAAAGTTGACATCTGGGCAGAAGAAGAGGTTGGAGTGATATATGAGCCAAGATACTTGGCACTGGTTAGTGGAGTGAGAGGAGTATCAAGTGACCCGGATCAGGAGTGGTAAGAAAGAAAAGAGCGCAGAAGGGGCAATTGCATGGGGAGGAAGCATCTGCATGGAGCGAAAGAGAAACGGGAAGAGAAGCATGGATGGTAAGGAGCTGGCATTTAGAGCCATTGAGAAGGAGACTGATGCGGGCAGCAAGGTGTTGGAGGAGATGCAGAATTCAAGAAAGGGTCTCATTGGTGCGGGCAATGAGAACAGTGTCATCAACGCATTCCACGTCAGTGAGAGGATGTGAGAATGAAAAAGTCCATGGATGTCCATGGTACATAGGAGAAAATGTCTTGGAAAAAGGAGTGGAGGTTGGAGGTGAAGGCAGAGAGAATAACTGCTAAGCGGCTAAGCAGCCTTGACGGATGCCCCTGGACAAAGAAAAGCAGGGGGAGTCCCCCGAAGGGCCTGTGGGTCTGTGACAAAAAAATTGCCATTGTGGTAGAGAGCCATCATGGCCTGGACAAGAAGTGGGGGGATGCCATATCCGGGCGCCGGCCACGCAGCCCGTGTCCTTGCCGGAGGCCTTCGGTGGTAACCGAAGGTTATAGGCGCTGCGCCCCCTGCCGCCGACCCACCTCTGACCTACCCCGGGGCCCCCGACTGAAGTCCCTGTAATTTACGGTGTATTTTGCTTGCGGCGTTCGAAAACATCGTTTTGGGCTCCAGGAGGGGGCCCGGGGCGGAAAAAGTTGCATCTTAAGATCGTTTCAACATAGATGGCCCTAACATGGCCCCAACATAGCTCCCAAGATGGCTCAACATGGGCCAACATCGGCCCAATACAGGCCAACATGGGCCCAACATAGGCCCAAACATGGGCCCAAGATGAGCCCAACAGAGCCCAACATAGGCCCAACCCGGGCCAATATAGGCCCAAGACGGGCCCAACATGCCTCAACATGGGCCCGACTTGGCACAACATAAGCCCAAGATGGGCCCAAGATGGCTCAACATGGGCCCGACTTGGCCCAACATGGGCACAACCTGCGCTCCACATAGGCTCAGACTGCTTCCATACAGGCAAGCACTGCGCATTATGCCTGCCTCAGTTCAACATAGCCCTCCCTGGGTTTGTGAGGAGAATCTCGGCCCAACCTTCCCACACCATACGCCACACGTCGTTGCTTGGCCGGCACCTGGCTGTCAGGCGTAAGCCTTTAAATAGAGTCAAAGGCCTGGGACCAGTCGAGGAAAAGGATGTAAAGAGAGGTGGAGTGGCATTCAAAAAAAACAGTGAGGCGTCGTAGCAAGGAAAGAGGAGTTGAGAGAGATCGACGGGCTCGAAAGCTGCTGCGGCTGCTGTTCTTCTGGTTGCCTTTATAGATCATGACAACCTTGCGAAGTTTCCAGCAAGGGCTGTGCCCAGGAGGAGACAATCATTGCAATGTGAAAGGAGAAAACGCTTAATGGAATGTGGGAGGAGACGTAGAGTTTATCATCCCCTATATATATAAATCTAAATAGTGAATATGAAGATGTTGCAGCTGGGTCGGTCTTCAGGTTTTTTGACATCTCCAAATTGTATCTGCGTTGGTCATCTTTTGGATGAAACCAGCATGGTTTGTACCCCATGTGCCCAACGTCCCCCAAAAAATGTTGCTTCAACCCCTGTATCCCTGTGATCGCAAATGAGCCCCAAAGGCCTTCGTGTGAAAGGCTGGGCAAACGGCCCAGGCACTTCCAACAGCGAGGCACGCCCAGTGGGTCCTGAACAAGATTCCGACAAGGGAGTTTTTGTGATTCAAAGTCATGGTTTGTCTGAAAATTTGTCTGAAAATAGGGTACATATTTTTATCCATTGATCAATCATCATTCTCCCTGTCAAAATGTAGCCATAACTGGGGGGTAGTATACCCTATGGTCAGACCAACCCAAATATCATGGTATGTTAGTTAGTTACTAGATTTACTAGTGTATGTGTGTATATATATACATATATATATATATACATATATATATATATACATATATATTATATACATATATATATATATACATCCATGATATTCCCATCTGCTCTATCAATGAGAGCTTGGTGAAAACTCCACAGCTCCAGCTTCGTCGGCACCTGATGAAGCCCCGGACACTGCCAGGGCTCGTGTCCTGGTCCCATGGGAAAATCTTCCATGGGCCCATGGGTACTGGGAAGATGATCTCTATGAATGATGGATGTTTTTAAGATGGGGATGTGATTAAGATGAGTCATCCATGAGTCATCCATCTAAAAAATCTAAAAATAACATTTAAAATAACCATGGGTATTTCTGGATGTTCATCTATGTTTTTTTTGGTCATTTAAGGTCATTTATGTAGATCCCCATGGTATAATGATCTACATAAATGACCATCGGTTCATATAAGAAACACTCCATTGGTCCTGGTCACAGACCTGAACCACTTGGTTTCGGTAACGGGGCTGTTTAATATCGGTTGGGGAAGGGATGAGAACTTTCTCCTAGATTCTCCAAGTTGAGTTCATACTTCTGATGGTATCAACTGACTATAAAGTTGGACCATATGTCTGGTTATATCCAACTTTAGTGATATAATTCAACTATTCAGATGACTCAAGGTGATATAATCCAACTATATCCAACTCTTGGGTTCCATCTTGGATGAAAAAGGGGTGTATCCAGCACAGCTATATATGGGGTGAATTCATATGAAGTAGACATCCAATGAATAAACCCCTCCTGTACTAGCAAGTAGGAATTGGCCTTCCACGGGAGCAAAAGTGTAGATTAGAGCTGCTCTCAACAAGTCTTTCAAAGGTCTTTCATTAGTCAAAGATCTTTCAAAGGCTTCAAGACTTCACCAAATGTTGAGAAGGTGTTTAAGCAAATGGCTTTGTCTGAAAATTCGGTGCCCCAGGCCCCATCTCACACTTTGTCGTAGTTTGGATTGCACTCAGGGGGGTACTTACCCGTCACCAAGTCTTGGACATACACCGATGATGTTCCTATCATTCCTAGACTGCATATATATCTGTCTGTATATATATATATTATGTATATCATGTGCATGTTCCATCATTTCCTTTTTGGACAGTCAATTTCTAATTCCATGTTGAAAAATCGTAGCGTGTCCTCTGGCAACAGCTGCTGGAAAATCCTGCAGACATTTTACGATTTACCTCTTTATTAAAATGCCAATTTTCTGGCCATTACCAGCTGAAAACGGAATCTGAATCAGTTATTATGCCAATTTGCGTGGATGTTTTCTTCTAATTATGTCCCTGTTTTTTTCTTTCAGTCCACAATTTTCTCCCTGCCATCCGCTCAGCTCTGCACCTTCACCTCCACAAACTCCACCCCAGAACTTGGGCAAGGGCCGCTGGCACCAGGTTTCACTACGCTTGGACACCAAATGTGGCGCGCTTTTGCTGTGGCCACGGCCACCGCACACCTACCAACAAGTCCGAGTAAAGGGAACTAAGATTAGGGAAGCTTTCTGCGGCTGCGGGACACAGTTATATAGTAAGTAGTGATCATGGCTCGGCGGGCTACATCCCATATATAACTGAAATTACATAATTTGGGTATGTTATAGTTACACCAACTTAGTAACTGGGATGCACATTCGCTTTGTTGGGGGGTGAGGTAAAGAAAGGGATATTAACAAGAAAAATGCATGGAAAACACGTATTACTGTTATCGAACCATCTTTTCTGGCTACCAAATGGAGAACTTATACTCATGTGACTCATGTGTGATTGTACACGTGGTTGTACATGATTAACATCCACACTGCAAAAACGATGTTTACATATGCCTACTGTGTAGGAGCATGGCAAATCCTTGATACCCTGCAACACCGATCCCGGAAGGTTATGTCCGTTCCCTGTTGCAAAGGTGTTTTCAAATTTGCGCAACGGGCAGGCTGAGGCGACAATGTAACAACTCTCCCAAAAGTTCCCCAGAAAATGCCAGAAATAAAACCCATGAACCCCAAGGTTTACCCAGATGATCCCAGATCCACAAAGAGGAATGCTCGTTCAGTGAAATCTGCCCGTGCCCCGGCGCCTCGCAAATTGGACAGCCAGATCGCATGTGATCGGGCAAAGCGCCTAGAATGGGAGAGTTTCAGCAACAAATGGGGGCCAAAAAAACAGCGAGCGGCTTGGGCTTCGCATCAAGTCATCATCCCCCGGCCTAGGGAAGCGGCACCGCTCGGAGATGGAGCTTGTGTCCACTGAGGTTTGCGAATCCTTCTCATTGGCCCCTGCCTTTTTTGCGGTGTCAGCTCAACAGGAAAGTCCGAAAAACTAGATGGGGGCATTGACATATACAGTATATCAATATACTAAAAAGGGAACATCATCTATAGATGGATATATAAACATCTATAGATGGATAATAGATGGAAAACATCATCTATAAAACCAGTTTTCCCATGGGGTTTTCCATTGTGAAGATGTGAGATGCGACGATTTTAAAAGGGGGGGATGAACATCCATTTTTTTACCGAACTATTTTGGTCTTCACCAGGGTACCAGCGGTTTGACTCATAGCCGTCATAGCCATCTATCTTCTATCTATTTGGGCCAACAAAAGTTGACCTGAAGGCACTCATGATGATGGAAAGAGTGTGCCAGATCCCGAGGTCACCGTTCTGGATGTAGATGGAAAAAGAAAAAAAACTTTGGGAAATTGATTGGGAAATATACCCTAATATTCCCAATTTTATATTCCCAATCAACGATCAAATTGATTCGCAAAGTTGGAAAGTTGGGCGAAACTCTTGTCACCTAACTCGATCGATGATCCACTGGTTCCTCTAAAGATGGGATGGTAAATCTGAATCCAATCCCAAAAAATGACCCATCATTGGTAAACCCATAATGGTAAACCCATGGAAAGTTTACCCAATCATAAAGCCAATCGATGGATGTTATGTTTACATATGTTTACCATGACTGAAAAGTCATGGTGTCTGTGTTTGCCATTGGCTTCACCACCAAAAACTACCCCTTCACGGCCCATCCCCTTTGGATCAAGTTGCTCCGCTTCGGTTTCCAGCAATGCATCCACCAAACCTGGCGGATTAACCTTAAATCATCCCCTAGGTTTCTCTGGAAGGCACCATTAAATAAGTCCAGATGTGTACATCCTCAGGAAAAATCAAACGTGGCTGGAAATCCACCATTGATGATGATTTCCGCATATTTTCCCATATTGTTCCCATATTGTTCCCATGAAAATCTCCCTGGATGTTCAATGGCCATGTCCCCGATAGCCCCCACACTCTGCAGCATCTTCCGATGGCGCTGCGCCAGAGATCTCCAGTGCCAACAGCACCTGCGTCGGTCACAAGCCGCTTGGGATCTCCCAGAGTTGGACAAGAAATTGTGGGAAAGTTGGACAAACACCCAGGTCTCATGGGAAAAACATATTTAAAAAAAAAAAAAACGAAAAAACACTCCGATGAGACGTATATATTCAACATAAATTGATATATTATATTATACTATATTATATTATATTATATTGTATTGTATTGTATTGTATTGCATTATATATATATATATTTATATCGCACACCTGGTATCTCTATTCAAAACTCAAGCGGTTTGGGATTGCTCAAAAGAATGCGCATATGCTGCGTATGTGTAACATAAAAACATACGTATGATCATACTTTGCAAATGTGTGTTAATATGTAAGCATACATATCAAATACATGTATGCAAAACAAATGAATATTCATAATTTTAGTAAACCTGCCAGTTTACGGATATATTTCATTTCAGACAGACCCAGGGTGAGTGATATCCCCATGATATTCCAATCCAGATTAATAATATACCATAAAAAACCAACAATTTTGGCTCGTCAAATCCCGCTAAAATGGCATTAACTCACATTTTTTACTGGTTAAACCAGCTTAAATCCCATTTAAATCCCATTAAATCAACATTCTTCGGCTTTACTCACCGTGTTTTCCGAAGTTGTTTTCGGTCACTGAAGCTTCGCCAAGACCGCTTTGCACCTCTTGTCGCGTGCACCGCTGCCGCATGCGGCATTGGAAGCTTTGGACCGCCTGGCGAAGCTAACCCCAAAGTCAGACTTTGGGGATCATCTCAGAAAATATGAATATGACTATGTATATATACATATATGTGTACGGATAGATATATATATATATATATGCATATATTATATACAACATAATTATCCATATATATATACATATATATACATATATATACATATATATACATATATATACATATATATATATATATACATATATGAACATATAGATAGATACACTAATGTCAACATAATGTGGTAAACCGAATATATGTATGGGTAGATATTACATAATGTGGTAAAGCCGATATTAAACCATCCCCAAGTTGTGTACTATTGGGTGGACCACATTATGTAATATGTATATATATATACATATGCATACGTGTATATGTATATATATGTATACATACATATATATATAGATATGTAAATATATTTACATATAATATATATATATGTATATATACATGTATATGTATATGTGCGTAGGTATATATATATGTATACATACATGTACATATAATTACATATACGTATAGATATAGATACCTGCAACCAGATGACCCCTGATGACCCCGATGTTGGCAAATAAAACCACGAGGGTTAAGCCTAAATGTTATGGATCAAAACCTCCAAAACAATGGTCATTTGGGTTCTAGGTATGTATATCATGAACATGGACGCGACGTTTTGAAAGCATCAAACAACATGGATACTCGTTCGGAAAAGGCCGGTAGCTTTCAATTCAAAAATGAAAAGTAGGCAGCCCCATTGACTGGCAAACTCTGCTTGCATTGCCCTACGTGGTGCGTTTTGGAAGCTTTGTGGGGAGGTAAACCCAGATTATGAAGCCTTGAAAAGACAACCGGAAGGATGAATGGGTGTGTCACGCTTTGCTACCCCAAAATCCCGTCATTTGGTTATGTACTTCTTCCCATGAAAATAGCCGTAACTTGAAGACCCAACCAGGTTTCTGGAAATAAGACTTGAACCTGAATGGATGTGGCTTTTGACCCCCTGGTACCCTTCTGGTCACATTTGAAAACCGGGTAAATGGTACATATCATCAACAACATCCTATCTTATGGCTTCTATCAGTACCTTTGGGAAGTACCATATTCTCATAATACTATGGATGGAAGAAACCGGTAAATGGATGTTCATCCCCCAAAACATGGTATCCCAAGCCATGATACTCCCAAGTCGCATGGACAGGAAGCGCCTCCCAAGCCATTCGCTCCACCCGGGTGTCCATGACTCCCACGCCCCGGAGCAACGCAACAAAGGTAGAAAAATCCTGCCAGCCGCAGGGGAGATAGACCCGGACAATTAGCAGTGATGCCCCCACAATGAATGGTTTTGCAGCATGCATCAGAAAGTGCAATTCTCTCATTCATGAAAATAGATATAAATATTAAATATGTATCTTATAATATAATATATATATAATACATATATATATATAATACATATATATATATAATACATATATATATAATACATATATATATATATAATACATATATATATATAATACATATATATATATATATACACCGTCTGGTACTCAAAGGTGGCTAGCTGGGAAATCCCCGAACTAAATGGAGGCTTCTAGCTGGGAAAATCATCAATGATAGATTTCCAGCCACGTTTGATTACCGGAGGGTACACTACTGGTCAACGTTTCAGACTTAAGAACCCATATAGTGTCCAGGAAATATTACACTATGGTAAAACTAAGCCATATATTGGAGTTTAAGAACCCATATATTTCCATGCAATACACGGATTACCCCCTTCCTCCCTTTTCAACCGCAATCCAAGCAGTCCTCCTTGCCCGCTCCAGGTCCACCGGCTGCCATAAGCAGTTGTGCTAACAGGCCGCCACGCGTTGGCGGCCTTGACGGCGACGCGTCGTTCACCTGGGGACTCAGGGAACAAAAGCACGTGATCATATACTAATAGTAATAGACATAAAAATAGACGAATGATACTATGTATATATATATATTAATATAATATATATATATATATTATACTCTTAAGACGACTTAAATATATTGATACGAATACGATAACTAATGCTAATACTGGTACTTAATGATTAGTACGAAAAGGAATGCCAATACTTATGCGTATACTAGTACTTATACTAATACTTATACTATCTTATACTAATATTTATACTCATACTTTACTACTACTAATAATAATAATAAATAATAATAAATACTAATACGAGTAGTAGCACAAGTGCGTTTACTATGCTTTATGATTCCAAAGCTTTGCTTACAAAAAAGGCGGTGGTTTCCTGCTGCAAACAGCGATGCCGCCGCCCTAAAGGAAGCCGGTGGCATAGCCATGTCGATGTTCAGCAGCTTGTGTTCTTAAATAGGGTTTTTATATTAATGTTTTAATGTTATAAAAGAGCCATTTATAATCATTTATAAGAGATTAATTATAAAACAGCCATAACTTTAACAGATTATATAATATAGATTAATTGTTGCTACTATAACATCCATAACAATTAAACATAATTAAACCATTTGCCCATCAAATGGCAGCATAGCTCTTGCTTTTTAGTAGCCCAGATCCCGTCGCCTACCCAAAAAATCTCCACCTCAAAGGCCAAAGTCTGCAGCCGCTGAGGAGGCTCATGCCAGCATCCGCCCATCCTCAACAAGGCATGGGGATGACCGGAAAAGTGTGAGTTTCTACGGCGTAGAAATGGGGGTTCGGTTTCGTGATGGGAAATGCCCAGTAGCTGGATGGTTTATATAATGGATGGTTATAATGGTTTATAGCTGGATGGTTTATATAATGGATGTTTATAATGAGTGAAAATTTCATGGAAAATCCATCTAGAAATGGAAAACTGGTGGTACCCCGAGAATTTTTCGGAATCCACAACTTCGAAGCGGCCGTTGTGGTGAATCGCCCCCCATCCACCTGTTTCAGGGCCTTGCCAACAGCTGACTAAAAGTCTCCAACACTGACCCTCCCCAGAGCTAGAACAGGACGCTCCCTGCAAGCTGATCCAACGTAAAAGGAGGGATATCCATGGATTTCAGCTGGTGATTTCCATTGATTTCTATGTAAAATGCTTCAAACCTCCAGCTGCTGGCCAGGCATCTCGTTCCAGGACTCGGAACGAACACCTTCGGAATGAGGCATTGATCAGTGTTCAGTACATTCATGTTTGTATATATATATATGTATATATATATGTGCGTGTGTACAATTGTGTAGATCCTGGGAATACCACCACAGTCCATCAAGAAGCATCGTGACCTTTTGGCAACATAAATGAAAATTCTACCGGCCGTTTTGGTGGCGAACCAACCCGTATCAAAAGCTACTCTTGTCATTTGAGTTCAGTGCAATCAATCAATGCAAAAAGGGTGGAAAGGAAGAAACCTTCCCAGTCTGGGTGGAGAGACGGAGGGGTTGCATAACTCTCTTTGGACCATTTCTTTTCAACGCAGCCGCCAAAACAGAATCATGAAGGCAGTAGGTTACTCTGAAAAAATGACCATCAGCATTCAACCCATCCGGAACTCAGTTGGGACTAGCAGCTAGCATCCCAGCCTTGAAAAAGCCGGTTGGAAACCACACACTCGTATTTTTTTGTGGGAAGGGCATTGGAATGGCCAGTTGCTTCGTGGTTAAATCTCAAAATTAAGAATTTCAGATCAGGAACCATATTGTTGTGTATGTTGTACTGTATTTGTTTTCAGTTTTGCAGTGTCCAAGTTGGGAGGTATACCAATATTTTTCCACATACTCTCACGGCACGTTGTCATCCCATGCACGCCCAAAGCTGACTCATTCGGCCGTCAAAGTTATGCATTCCTCTTCCTATTCATCATGTTTCTGGCCAACTTGCTATTTCACTAGTCTGATTCACAAATAGCTATGGTCAATACCCTTGTACCCCAGCGAACATGCTAGCCGGCAAATGGGTCTTCCAACCAAAATATGGTAAATTCAGGTCAAATTCATAGGTTTTGACCGTCCCCAAGTTTGATTTTGGGGATGACCCACAAACAACTGAGGGACCTATGCTCACCAAGCGGTCTCCGTCTTTGATGCCGCGGCGCTGTGCCGGTCCATCTGGAGACAGTTGGAAAGGTTGGAAGGGCACCGAGATTGTGCAGTATGGGCTAGGGTGCAAAGGGAGAACGCAGAATCACCTTGGAACCAGTCCAAATAGTATGGCACATTATGGCACAGGATGACGGCTTTCACCAAATTAATCGAAACTATAGTTTATACTGTAGTACTAGATTCAGATATGATGAGAAGGTTGTGTCCCAAATAGTCTGAGATGCCACTGAAAATGTGGTGTGGTCTGTTGCTGGGCTGCCCCACTAGCAACCCACTAATTGACTGGATGCACGTCCAAGTAAACCATTCTTGCTGGAGGGTACCCGGATTTGGACCCATACCCACCATAGCTCATACATCTCTCGTGCTTCGGAAATCCTTCCCTCAACATGATTGGTTTCTTCCCTGAGCATCTAAATACATCTTGCCACATGGGCATGCTGACGCAGACCCTGGAAGAAAAAAACATTGTCAATTGTCAATTGTCAATTCATTGGGGGTCCTCCCCAACAAGTGATCAATGTCTATCTTTTTAAGATGGTGCATCCTCAAACTAAACAGCGAATGGTTTTGTAATCTGGGGATGACATTAACTATTGATTCCACTACAAGCAACAGACTTGGCAAGTGGGCGCTTAATAAACGAAAACTCTGAATCGAATCATATTCTGCATTATGTAACCTACAAAAATCAAATATATGGGTGGCAAAACACATTAGTTAAGTTAACTCATATTAAATCCAAAAAATATACAGGATGCTAGTATATTTTAATATATATATAATATATATATATATATAAGTCAGTAAGTAATGAACTATGAACTCCCAAAAATATACATATTATAAAAATATTTTATTTTATTATACAAGTTACAATTGCTTTAGTAGGATGTCACTTGTCGCGTTTGCCGCCTTCACAAACCGCCACCACCACCAGGTCTGTAAACTCCTGAAAGCTGCAGCTGGGCACGCCATCGATCAGCCTCGGTGACGAAGTTACATGGCTATGTGCTATGTGATATTGTCATCCATCCCGTACTTGGGAATCCTCAAAATTTTGGGTATATTATATATATATAATTATAATATAATTATATACAATTATAATTATATATATACTTATATATATAACTATATATAAATAAATAAATAAATAATAAATATATATATATATATCCCCATAACAATCTCCATGAACATCTCCATTGGAATGATGGTCATCCACCCCAAAGTGCTCAAAATTTGGTCCAGGCCACGGAACGAAAAAAAATGGTGAGTTGGTTGGAATCAAATTGGGCTCTGACCAGCAGAAAAAAAACAGGAGTTGATCAACCTCCCGACACTGGAAAGCAACAAGGATTCAAAAATTTCAAAAGCACCAGCCTTTGATCACTTGAATTTACCCCCAACGGCGTGAATTGAACATGGCAATGGATTTCAACTTTGAAAATCTGTAGATCAATCTGTGGCTGGTCACTGCCAGCTTAAAGGTGACTTGGGCTCTAAACCTTCAGAACTTGGAGGGTACCCTCTGGTAATTTAACATAGCTATGGAAAATCACCATTTTTAATGGGAAAATCCACTATTTCAATGGCCATTTTCAATAGCTTTTTGTTAGTTTACCAGAGGGTAACGATGGGCTTCGCTGGCGGCTTCTCCACCCATCTTCAAATCGAGTGGCTGATGAACACGCCTGGTTCAGAATCGGCGGACTTTGCTGGGTCCGCCACAAATCACCACCGCTTTCCAGCTGATTTATCCCTCCATTTTATGGGGATACCCCTCTGGTAATTTAACGTAGCTATTGAAAATGACCATTAATAGTGGATTTTCCCATTAAAAATGGTGATTTTCAATAGCTATGTTAAATTACCAGAGGGTACACATTGAAATTTTCTCCAGTAAAGCTCCACTGAATTCCAAGTCTGAATAGATCCATATCAAACCCCATCTCCCTATATATGGGTGCTGGAGTTAGCTGTGTATGTTGAGAATCGCGGAAACTGCGCCTCGTCTGAAGTACCTCCTCCACTTGCACATCGTTCTGCCAATCTTGCGTCAAGGGATATTCAACGACAACCTCAGTTTACAAGGATATACAAGGATCATTTCACAATGTCAGCATGCATGGTTCTTTCTCCAGTCTTTCTCCCGTGAATAACTCGCAGCAAATTCACAGTGCAGCAGTGGTTGTGTTCCATTTAATAATTTGATGCAGCATGCACACATCCAAGTAGTCACCGAACACTGCTGTGGTTCCTGTTTTCACATAGCAAACACGAACATTCGCGACACCGCCGACTTGGAGCAGCTAAAAACGGACAATGCTCGCTATATTCCCAAGATTTCCGCGTTCGAAAATGTGCATCAAATAGTTTTAAGGCACATGAATACAAGATGATCTTCCCTATGTATATTATATGTATGTATATATATATATATGTGTGTGTGTGTGTCTGTGTGTGTGCGTGCTGTGGTCAAAACATGGTACGAGTATATGTGATATAGTCATCCATTGCACAATGGAATATATATACATATGCATATGCATATGCATATGCATATGCATGTACACTAGATGTAATATACATATACACACATATACATATACAATCTACATACACATGTACATATACTATACTATCATATACACATGCAAGTACATTTACACTTACAAATACATATATACATATTCAAACATATCTACATATACATATACGAATACACATTTCATTTACCTGCATATAATATACATGTACATTTAGAAAAAATACATAATAGGATCAAATTTTAAATGTAGAATCATGATAGAAACAGCCACGCTTCGGCCCTATATAAATGGGCTTAGCGTTTTGTCCGGGAGATTTCCGCCAAGGAACACATCGAGGTCCAAGGGAACTCTTGATGCCATGCCACTCCCGGATGATCTCTGCAAGGTCGAAATCGTCGGCCATCCTGGCCTTCCTTGGATCTGGAGATTCTGATGGCGAAAAATAGGGGTTATACCCTCTGGTAAACTAACATAGCCATGGAAAATCACCATTTTTAATGGGTAAATCCACTATAAATGGCTATTGAAAATGATCATCAATAGTCAGTGGATTTTCCCATTAAAAATGGTGATTTTCCATAGTTATGTTAGTTTACCAGAGGGTACCTGATAGCCTATGATAGCCGAAGAATGGCCGGCTATAGATGGCCATTCGGCGAATGAACCATGTGATGATTGTATTTTCACGATTTTTGATGGCTATCCAGTGGTATCCTATGTTCAGACAACTCACCTGGCGATCATGCAGGTATCATCCATCTCCAATTCACCATCTCATAGCATGCCACTAGAAGATGGACCCAAGACTACAAGAACTGGTGAAAATTGTCGCAGTTCTTCGAAAACACTGACAAAAAAATACCAAAAGTATTCAAGAGACTCTCATGATGCCAATGATTCATGTTTAAGTAATGTTTACCGTATCCATCCACATCCATCTCACCGGCCGAAACATCTAGTCAATGTAGTCTATAATATCTATAATTTGGACATGTTCCCAACATGTTCTCAACGCCAAGCGAAGCAGCGGCGAATCTGCTGCAAGATTGCGTCGGCGGCGTCGATGTCTCTCCTCCACAGATCTCATCGCTGGTTGGTGGTTGACCAACCCCTCTGAAAAATCATGGAGTGAGTAACAGTTGGGATGATGACATTCCCAATATGATGGGAAAAATATATCAAAATGTTCCAAACCACCAACCACTGTAACAAAGGGATACAAAGGGTGATTGATTGCCGTATGGCAGCGTACGGATAAAAAAACATGTACCCCAGACTTCCATACCCCATAAGATGAATACAAAAGATCGCCAGTCAATCTGTGCGTCCCAAAGAGACGCAAATGATGAGTTTGACCGTTTGACCCCTTCAACATATGGGTACGGTATGGTTCAAAATTACCGTAAGACCCAGGGAAACAGATATACATCCAAAATGAATCCTACAGCAGCAAATTTGGTACCCAATTTTGACCCTTCGGCCCATATCACTGAGTTGCGGTCCCCTGTGGGAAACCATGGGAAACCTGTGCGGAGTCAAACTGCTTCTTGGGGTCCTTGAAGACACCTGCAATCCTCTGCGCACCCAGCCTGCCGGGTGAACATTTGCATGGGCAAGCTGCGGCAAGCACAAAAAAAACAAGTTCATGCAGTTCAAAGTGTCCAAATATTTGTTCAGCTGTTTTTCAATAAATGAAAGGAGCCAGAAACCCTGATTGAAGGCTCTGGAAACCATAGTTGTCCTATGTTTTTGTAGCAATTTGCCAACCTGTAGCAACTAAACAGTGCCATGCTCCATGCTGATCATGAAAACTCATGGTAGATGTTTCGCTTGGAAATCCACCCACTCAGAACACCGCTCTGTCCATGTCTTATCTCACATAATCTTAGATACCCTGCAACCACAAAAAAATGTTGGGGCTGGGGACGTATACATAGCCCGTGTCTAGCCGGTGGCTAAAATCTATGTCTAGGTGCTCCCGTCAAATGACTATCCCCGACAGTGCCTCGAGTAGACCATCTGCAAAGCTAGCTTGTTTTGGATTGGAGACTGAATCAAAAGGCCAAGGCGATTGGTGGTCGAGCCGCCCCAAAAAAATGAAAAAAACATCGCAGGTCACTTGGTTCATATCCCACCTATGAAAGTGGCCCTAACTCATCCTAGTTAGACGCACTCAAGTCACTACAGTATATCATCGGGCCCGATCCATCCCCTGTTCACAATTAATTCACCTGTGTTCCTGGATTTTGCTGGCAATCCAAGTCTTCAATCCATCCAAATCCAATCAGCATCAAACAACTCCACCTTGAACCCTGCTATGTAAAGGGATATACACCCAGAATATGGCTTTATATGGTACAGTACCTACATTTTAGGATCCTTAATTTCCCATTGAAACAAGACTCATCGAGTTTTCCCAGCCGCGCCTCACACTGCCTTCATCCAGGTCGCTCACCAAATGTGTCAGCGTCCTCAGAAAGCCTGGCGACCTGTGCTGTCGAAGGGGCATCCCTACTTGAAAGATCAAGGAGCAGTGTCCAAAAATGTCCAAATTCATCCAAATTCATCCAAAATCCATGAAATATCATGAAATACTGAAGCTTGGGGATGTCCGATGTCCCAATTCATCCAGTTCATCCAGTTCATGCCAATCCCCAACAGATTAAAAGGATATAAAGAATACTCAAGCCATGGCCTGCCTCTCACGGAGAGGATCCCTTGGTTGGATCGATGGGGGCCGATGCTATCTCAAGTACCCTGTAGTAGTACCTGTAGTAGTCATTAGAAGCTATGTAAGTGACAACAATAAAGACAAGAATCAAAATCTCAGTACAAATCCATATATATATATATATGTGTGTGAGCTCCCATCAAAATCTTTTAAATCTCAGTAGTTACTATCATCGGATCTCACTTTTTTTTTGGGCCATGTCACTTTCCAGTGTTTTCGAATACTACCAGTGGTCACCTCACCAAATCACTGCTGGGTCATCCCACCATTTCTCCGACAAGGCCGACGAGGCCGACAAGGACCTCAGCAATGCGCAGATCATAGGGATATCGAGGTTGAACTGTTGAAGCAACATGAAGCAACAAACATGGGGATTTACCCCTCTGGTAAATTAACATAGTAACATAGAAAATGGCCATAGAAATAGTGAAATAGTGGATTTACCCATCAAAAATGGTGGATCTTTCCATAGCTATGTTAGTTTACCAGAGGGTAACATGATTTAACTTGATTCGACGGATAGAATGTGGATATTTTTCATGGGTTTCGTGGTTTATGTATCCAACAAAAAATGGAGTTAACCAACAAAAATAGCGGCCGGTATAGTCGTATATATAATAGGGATATAATAGGCATGTCGTAGACATATTATAGACATATCACAGGAATAAGGATAATCAAGCAACAATACAGCATTTGGCTGTGCCTGAAAACAGCAATGTACAGTAAGTATAAGTCCATTTTCAGGGTGATGTTTCCTTGTCATGTCGGTGAGAGATTGCTGAAATTATCCAAAATTTGCCCTGCTTCGTTCATGTCTGGCTGTGTGAACGTGTTTAAAAAAAAAAAAAACGGCCCCTCAAAACATTGCAGTTTGGACAGTTTGAGGCATTGAAAAGACCAAAGCACCCAAATCAGACGCTTCAAATTTCCCGAGAAGCCAGAAACAAATCAAGGCTAAACCAGGTTTGTCTGTTGTTAGCCGTAGATCCATAACTCATCAAGGCTTACCCCAGAAATCTCAGTGAGCCGGTCCCAGTTGAGCCGAGCCGACGAGAAGAGCGGCGGAAGCCGACGGTGCCGATCCTGCCGGTAGTGCCGGCCTTTGGCCTGGCGAGTGGGACGCCCATCCCGGGAGACCCAACCAATGAAAGGGCCGACATCTGGTGTTTGCATCAACCAACGAACACCCAAAAGCCAAATGTATAGGAGTCCCCAAATATTATATATATATTATAAATTATATATAGAGAGAGAGATATAGATAGTAAAAATCCCATTAAAATAGTGGTTAAATTGTGTTAAATTACTTTTATATCTGACTTTTAGGGGATTACTATATACAAATGTGGGGTATCTCTAGCAGTACCCCCACATGACTTGACTCATCTCATGAAAATCCTAGGAGAACTCCCCCAAAAGCTACCGGTACCCCCAAACAGGAGGTGTTCAACAAGCCCCTAACAGGCGTTGGTGGTTAAAAGTGAAAAAAAGTACTTTTACTGGTTTGGGTTGGGAATGTACCCTCTGGTAAACTAACATAGCTATTGAAAATGACCATTTATAGTGGATTTACCGATTGAAAATGGTGATTTTCCATAGTTACGTTAAATTACCAGAGGGTACCTTTCAGCCTAAAAAATGAGCAGTTTCTAATCCCCCTGAGTACCTTAGGGGTTTAGTACATCTTTTAAGGCTTGTTTTAAAGGGATGCTAGAGTTTCATCCCAGATTTGGTACCCGCAGAATCACCTTCTGTTCACCCCAATTCAAAACTTTTTTTTTTCATGGATGTTCATCTAAATATTGGACCCATAGGTTTTAACTCTTTAACCATCTTTAAGCACCCATTTTTCTGGCCTTAAAGGAGAAGTTTGCCACAGGCGGTGCAGCCACAGAGCTGCCTCCTCCGACCTCCTCCGCAGAACCTGACTCTCCAGGGGTCGCAGTTTCCGGGCAGGGATCGGCGGTTCATATGTTGCAGTTCCAGGCATTTCTGCCAGTTGTTTAAGAATGTTTTATGTAATTTTACGTAATAATCTATATAGTCTATGTTTCCAACAGTCTTGGTTTCACATCCTCTGCGGATAAAAAACCAAACAGCCCAGAACAGTTGTCTTTAAATGGTGGTAGGCTGTAGGTGAATGAATGTAGAATCATTGAATCCAGACTCCATTCCGTCCTGTTTCTTCACTTTCGTGGATCTTCGTTGGGCCATGAGTGACCCAAACACCCGAGTGCCTTTAGAGAAAGCTCGAGTGAACCTCAGGAGCTTCATTTGGAGGATAAAACCCAAGTAGTCTGAGCTGGAAGGGAACCATATCTGGTGCCTACGTCGGGAAGATACTGGGAATATATATATATAGCAATGAATAATAGGATTCAAAAAAGAACACTAACTATATAGCACTATATAGCACTATATTGTTACTGTTGTATGTGTGTGTGCGGATGTGTATGTCAAATTAGGGTACATGTATACCCTTTAGTTAGTTTTTGCCACGTTGATAGGGGAAATGATGATTGACCATGATTGACCTATGGATTTTAGAGGCACCCAAAATTCGAGACACACTAATATCTGGCAATCACATAGAATAACCATGGCGCATGACTAGTCCACATCTTCAAATGATCTTTCCGTAAACAAAATCAATTTGTCGTTTCCAGCTGATATGAAAAAAGTCGGCAACCACAGTTTTTTTTTATGCAGGGTCTGCTTGCGGGACGACCTTTTTAGAGCCAACAGTTTGCAGTGTTCAAAGATGTCCAAACCATGTTTTGGAACACACCTCTTTCTCAAGTTGGTTGCGGCTCTGCTTCGATCTTTGGACAGTCGCGATTCAAATTGGATAAATTGGGTGCAGTGCTGATGGAAATCACGGGCTGGAAAGGAGCATCCTTGGAGAAAAGTGGTGAATTTATGTGAATTTGAGAAACCCACGGGGTTTTCAATGGTAAGTTCATCTACACAATTGTCATCTAATATTCCAAGCCGCCAATGAAACCACCAAGCAACACGCCACCCGCCACGGCCGCCACAACGGTCGCGTTTTCAAATTGGGTGCCCCACTGCATGTAGCCCAAGCGAAGGCCGGGGGCCGCTTCTTTGGAGACATCAACGCAACCCACCTGGGATGCGATGAACTTGGTGGATCCAAAAGGGATGTTAGTTGGTCATAAGAATGTCCTGGCCATCCTGGCCCGTTGGTCAACGGATTCTTGAAACAGAAGTCATGGCTTTTACACGCTTTACTATACTTTTACTATTCGACTTAAGTTGTTTCCTTTGAAACATTGGCCCCACGTTACACAAGGCTGATTTACCTCTCAAACGCTCTTCCATCTCGTACCCTCCAGGGTCTTCTGTTCGTCCTGGGAGCGTGCCTCATGCAGTGCAGCATGCCAAATAGAAACCAAGGCCTGGATGCTGATGATGTGTTCATCAAAATTCCGACCACAGATGGACTGGACATGTTTAGTATATCTTAGTATCATATATTATATATATAGTATAATCATCATCTATCCGGTTGAGGGGTCTAATTTTGGCCTGTACCCATAACTGACGAAGAATTCACCTGAAACAGGGTGGTTGAGGGATGGTGAACCCCAGCCATCTTTGATGCGGCTATGGATGGTCAGTCACCATTTCCTCGCCCCCATCAGTGGCGTTGCAACCTCTCACTGTAGTTACTCCATGTCCAACTGTTACCTGTGCTTACAAACTCTCGTTCTTCCATTCATATGGTTTGTAGACCCTATAATCCTATATACGTACTACATATCTGGTATATACGTACATGATCCAATCCTAAGTACCCCCCAATCCTTCCTTCCCCTTCCAAACTTCACAACTACTCTTGTTACTACATGCATGTGTTACAGTGTCATTTATCCCTTGCCCTTCAACCAAACCCCCATTGACAATTATCAAGCATGGTCAACAGGCGTGAAAACGGGAACTCCCCAATCAAACGCAACCCGAAATTCCACCTTAATCCAGGCACAAAACCTTAAAAATTCAATAAAATCATGCAAAATGATCCAAATTCACTCCAACTTCCAACTTCGGCCCCAAGTCTTCCCAAAGAACATCCACCCCCCACGACCTCCAACGGCAGCGTCACCTCAGACCGCAGCAGCAGCTCGTCCAGGTCGTCCATGCCCACGGTGCCCGCGGTCGCGGCGCTCGCGGGGCCCTCCGCGGAGGAAGCGGTGCAGCGGAAGAGTTCCGTGGCGGTGTAGCGTTGCAACAGGCCCCGGAGGGCATCCTGTGCGGAGATGGTTGGCCGTAAGATTCCCATCTGGGTATCTGGTTAGCTAATCTCAAATTAGAGAATCTTCGGAAAAGGATGGACTTTCCGAGTTTGATGTGGATGATATGGTTGTAAGATGTTGTAAGTCTCAAAATTGCTCTCCCAAAAATCAAGGCTTCACAATTTTCAAGGCAACTCCTATGTCAACCAGTTTCCCATGTTTGTCTGATTTTGAAAAGTGGCCAGAACCCTTGCAGAAATTTCTATCATGGTTGGTTTCTGTGGATGTTCATCATCCATACAGACAAACCTAGTATGCAACCATCATGGGGCGTGGGCCACTCAACTGTTCGTTGAGCGTATTGACACCAAGCTTCCAGCAAGGCACTTCCAGAGTTGCCAGCGAGAAGTGCTTGGCCCTGACCATTCTGCGAAAGAAGCTGCACCGTTTTTTTCTGCGTTGAATGATGCTTCAACCAATATGATTTAGTGGAATTAATAGGGACCCCAATGATGGGACCCCCATTCCCATAAGAAACCCAGTATGAGACAATGATCATGGAAAAAAAAATAGAAACTGTTTGGAGATACCCTGTTTCCTCGATTCGACACCTCAAACATCAACATCCTCGGCAACTTTTGAGCCACCAAAGGCCTGGGTTTCTATCATCTGTCTCTCGAAAGTTCCAAATTCTGCAATAACTGGCTTTCTCTGGAATTGATTACCCTCTGGTAATTTAACATAGCTATTGAAAATGGCTATTTATAGTGGATTTTCCCATTAAAAATGAAATTTTCCATAGCTATGTTAGTTTACCAGAGGGTGAGCTATTACTGCTATTACTGGGAAAGTGGCCCCCCTTTTAAGCGCTACCTTGTGGCTAAGCAGGGCGTCCCAACCATCTGGGATCCAACTAGTGGATTCAACCCATCGGAAAAATATCTCTGTCAATTTTGGGATCATCCTCGGGTTGAATATTTGGTACCAAATCATCCAAGTCACTATATATATATATATATTATGTATATATATATATATTATGTATATATATATATTATGTATATATATAGATAGATAGATAGATAGATAGATAGATAGATAGATAGATAGATAGATAGATAGATAGATAGATAGATAGATAGATATAGATATATAGATCATGACTCGGTATTAAATTGTTGAAACAACCATGGGGACTGGGGGATCCACCAGTCCTTCAGCTCCATCGGGCACCTCCTGTTGGATCAGCTCTTTCGGAACCCGCTTCATCGCTTTCAGCATGCGCCCGCGCAGGAAACTCCTGGGAGACAATCTTAAAATGGCATTCAAGCACAGACTCTCCATCCGGCCTCTCAAAGCGACAAAGGATGTTGCTACCAACTCCTGGGAATTTTGGAAGTTGTCCCCTATTTTGATCCATCATGGTCCATCCCAATTGCACCCAAAAAAGGGGCGCTTTCCAACACTGATGGAAACTCAGGTTGGGGTGTGTTTTGTCCCATTCGAAGATCAGCCAACTTCAACTTTGAAAACGATGCGACTCGTCCATCGGGATATCAACATTCCGGCTATGGACTAAATAAAAACACACGAAACCGCCAACAACCAGGTGATGATTGGCAATGAATTCCATTTTTGACCCCTACTAATATACGTCTATAATGTATTATAATGTTATATATGATAATGATGACAATGATCATGATAATGATGATAATGAGTATGATAATGATGATTCTATTGTATAGTTATCCCCGATTGTTGAAGATTTGACACCACCAACCAGTCTAAAAAAAATCGACGCGATAAATCACCAACCATCCGTTCTTCTATATATCTATGGCTCATCAAAATTAGCTACATGTGGTAAACCCAATGCAATAAAACCATCCCTAAATATAACCAGTTTTATGGATGGTATGTTTACCATCCCCAGTCAGGCTAGGTTTCTTAATTATTGGGTTTACCACATTACATGTTTTAAACGGAACTGGGGCATTACCAACTTTTTAAGCAAAAACTCTAATACCAACTGGGGCATTAGCAACTATCTACACATATACACCAAATATCCAAATTATAGAAATATAGATCCAAATAGTATCAAATTTAGTTCTATATCAGATTATAACAGTCAGTTTTTCACATAGTTGACACCACCAACTGGGGCCTTTCTTGCTGGATCTCCCCGAGTTGGTCAGCCCAGGTCTCCTTGTTGACCGCGGCCGCGGAGACCGGGCTGGGAGACCAGCCAGGGCTGCAGGCTGCAGCGTTAGCTCAGCCAGGCCCTGAGGGTGTTTTTGCAGCAAGATCGCTCGGAAAATATGGCAAAAACATGGAAAAACACATGGAAAACACATGGAAAACACATGGAAACAAGTTCAAGAAAACATGGAAAAGACATGGAAAAGACATGGAAAGACATGGAAAGACATGGAAAGAGCTTGAGAAGATAAGGAAAACATGTTGCACTTTTAGATGGAAAAGATGGGGATGCCGGGTAAATGGCGTTGCAATGGTTCCTTTTGGGAGAGAACCAAGCAAGCAGAAAATTGTGTATCCTGGTCAACAGACCAACAGAAACCACCAAATCTGGCTGAGAAAGGAATGCTTTCCTGTAGATTTTCCTTTAAACCAATCCACGGAGAGATAAGCAACCCAAAAATGGGCAGCAGTGGCATGGTTACAACCAGGGTTGTTGCATTTGAAGATCATGCGATGAACGAAAATGTGACAGGAATTATGCTTTAAAATCAGAAATAACATATCAATATTGATATATATATATATAGATATAGATATTATATGGATATTGATATTATGCTTTAATAACACTGACGTCTGTTCGTTTCTTCGGACATGTTGGGCTCCATGCCATAGCGGCCATAGCGATTTTTCCGGATGATTCCGGATGTTCCATCTGAGCAGTGTTCAAAACCCTATGGCGTTGCTTTGTACTGCTTAGCTAATAGGATTGGTCAGTTCATGGATTGTAATCACCAACAATATTGGATAGTATAAGCCCAAATCAACCAATCCTCATTTCTCAACTATATCAATATCCCCACTAAAAAACCCTTTGATGGTTACAACCCGTATTAGTGATAACATCTGAGAACAATGGTTATTAAATCACCATCATATACCAATGATTTAGCAATTCCAGCTTTCCACCTACTTTTTCATGGTTAAACACATTTAAAAACCATGTTGAACCGCAGATTTGGTGAAATTCCGTTCTCTAAGTCCCAATTTAGATCATTTAGATCCTATTGATTTTCCATTGATTTGCCATTGATTTGCCATTGATTTGCCATTGATTTTCCATTGATTTTCCATTGATTTGCCATTGATTTTCCACTGAATATAGGTTTTTTGGTACGACTTCCAGGACTTCCAGCTCTCATCTTTCGCCTCTTCGTCATTTGTGACACCGGTGACGGTCTCCGCGGAAGCCCCGGCCTCCGAGGCCACAAGAAAATGTTGGCTCCATTCAGAATCCCCGATGAAACAGCTAACAGTTTAACACTGAGAATTATATACTGTATGTCTATAATATGTATATATATATATATAATTATGTAATCATGTAATTATATAATCATGTAATTATATAATTATATAATCATGTAATTATATATGTATTATATACTATAGTGAAATTATGTAAAATCCATCATAATCCCTTTTTCATAATCTAGCAAGTGGTATGTTGATCTGCCTCTATGGGTGTCAAGCCCTTTGGGTACCCGGGTACCGAATGATGCTTCACGACAAGCCAAGGGCCACTCTATCTGAGATAGCTACCTAGGTTTGAAGAATTTACACATGCCCAGTTGAGTTTTGAAATCAGTTTTGGAGTGTTTTCAAAAGTTGAACATTTGGATACAGTGATGGAAATGCTCCTATAGCGAAAAAGTAGTTTCTTTCACCCTTTAAAAATTGCCTAAAACAAGCAAATAGGCTTAAGTTGGCCTATTCAGAAACCAAGTTTTATAGCCCCCGTTTTTTTTTTTGGTATTTGCCCCCCACGACCCATAAGCCATGCCTCTACCGTTGTCCGGCCATCGACTTGAGCGTTGGTCTCTTGAGTCTCTTGGTGGCTCTGTTTCACCTAGGATGTCCGGGATCGGAAGGTAAGCCACTGGGGATGCTGGTAACATGTGGTAACTAGGGATGTTCCATCAAAAAGACACATCACATCATGATCTATTTACCTTGATAAGAGGCGATTCACGTAATAATGACAGAATTTTGGGATAACTGGTCAAGAAACTCGGTTTATTTATTGGATCTAAGTCTCTATATAAACTATCTGCAAGAATTATCTGAATAATACTATTGGGTGGATAATCGATCAGTGTTCCGATAACTTTGGAATTATTTATTGGGAATCGCTCATCCATGTGTTTCTGAAAATCCCAAACATGCCCAATAAATCCCAAACAGGACATGAAGATGTCATCACACGGCCACCAGGAACATCCAATGGCCAATGGCATTGTTGGTGAGGGCAGGACCCAAGATACCCAAGATATATCATTTTGAGGCATAGGCCATAATGACCAATTGTATCTGAAATCAAGTTTCAGCATCATTTCGAAACACCTGTCAATACAATAGTAAGTAGTGATTCCTACCGAGCGTTGAGCTCAACATCTTGTTGTCCCTTCCACCAACTTTTGGGCAGGACGTTGGAGTGCCAATGTTTGTCAATTCCAGAAAGACTGTGAAACGGCCTGGTTGTTGCTTATTTCTCCATAGACTCCATATCTATTTAAGGAAATCATCCAAAGAAAATACGAAAAGGTAAGGGTAAGGAAGCACATCAAATCAGCTATCTGAAAACGACATCCAGAAAAAACACCTCGAGCTTTCACACATCTTTTGCCTTCTTGTCATGCTCCCAGGTGTTTCATCATTTTTTCATCGACATTTCTGCCGTGGATCCTCTGCAGTCACAGCCTTTTCTGCTTCGTCAGGAACCTCCTGGCGCACTTGGACCCCAGCACACTGGCGGAAATCCAGGAAACGCCTTCGGCCACGGGCTGTTTTTGATTCAGTTTTACTAGAGACTTGTTGGATCTTGTTGGTGTATTCCTGTTGGATCTTTGGGTGTGGATGTGGATCAAGAATTCAGAGAAAAGATCCACTCTTTGCGGACGTGAAATGTCACGTTCCGGGGTCTACTCTTCAGAGTTGCTACACTCCAATTTTCTGGGTTTAGTTATGGGGGCCCCAAACAAGATAGACAGATTCTCTATATAAGCTATCTGCAAGAATTATCTGAATAATACTATTGGGTGGATAATCGATCAGTGTTCCGAGAAATTTGGAATTGTTTATTGGGAATCGCTCATCCATTTGTTTCTGAAAATCCCAAACATGCCCAATAAATCCCAAACAGGACATGATAGAAAATGTCATCACACGGCCACCAGGAACATCCAATGGCCAATGGCATTGTTGGTGAGGGCAGGACCCAAGATACCCAAGATATATAAGATATATCATTTTGAGGCATAGGCCATAATGACCAATTGTATCGGAAATCAAGTTTCAGCATCATTTCCAAACACCTGTCAATACAATAGTAAGTAGATGTAAGTAGTGATTCCTACCGAGCGTTGAGCTCAACATCTTGTTGTCCCTTCCAGCAACTTTTGGGCAGGACGTTGGAGTGCCAATGCTTGTCAATTCCAGAAAGACTGTGAAATAGCCTGGTTGTTGCTTATTTCTCCATAGACTCCATATCTATTTAAGGAAATCATCCAAAGAAAATACGAAAAGGTAAGGGTAAGGAAGAACATCAAATCAGCTATCTGAAAACGACATCCAGAAAAAACACCTCGAGCTTTCACACATCTTTTGCCTTCTTGTCATGCTCCCAGGTGTTTCATCATTTTTTCATCAACATTTCTGCCGTGGATCCTCTGCAGTCACAGCCTTTTCTGCTTCGTCAGGAACCTCCTGGCGCACTTGGACCCCAGCAAACTGGCGGAAATCCAGGAAACGCCTTCGGCCACGGGCTGTTTTTGATTCAGTTTTACTAGAGACTTGTTGGATCTTGTTGGTGTATTCCTGTTGGATCTTTGGGTGTGGATGTGGATCAAGAATTCAGAGAAAAGATCCACTCTTTGCGGACGTGAAATGTCACGTTCCGGGGTCTACTCTTCAGAGTTGCTACACTCCAATTTTCTGGGTTTAGTTCTGGGGGCCCCAAACAAGATAGACAGATTTCGAGGATGGTATAGTAGTATAGATATACTATGATATACTTACCCCGGTTTCCAACTTTTCTCTCAATTTCTGGGGTTGCTATCCACCAAACCTGAACCCAGTCCGATAGAGTAAGTAATTCGGAATGTGCAATTCTCAAAACCACCCTCTAAGTTCGGGTCCGTGGATTTCCAAATGTGATGCCCAGAAACTGTTGGGGGGTGAGTCTCGATTTTTCACCATTTGTTGATCCTATGCCTTCCTCAAACCCTCATGGTTCTTTTTAACTCACCCAATTTGTTCCCCTAAAACCTCCATGGTTCACCCATAAGAGACCTCAGTACTGAAACAAGATGAACAAGATGAACAAGAATGACCGGAAAAAAAAAAACAGGTTGCCATTTCAAAAGCTGAAGAAATCAGCTATAGTCAGCACCCACTCTCCTCGAGTGGAACCGCTGTGGCTGGTGCATCTTTCTCGGCAGTTTCTTGCTGTCCAGTCCTTGGCTCAGCAAAGTCCGGGAACAGCAAAACTGCTAAAGCCCAAAATATGAGCGCTAGTTGGATAGGAGAAAAACACGACATGTATATATACTATATATTACTATATATCTTAATATTCAAAACTACCCACCAAACAACTTACCTAGCAATTCCAGAGTTGACTGAGACTCGCATTCCAGCACAATCCTTCAAATTCTCTCTGAATTTCGTCGAGATCCGCCAAAGTGGCGGTTTCCATAGTCATGGGGGAGCCCCAAACCATGATTTTTTCTTGTGATTTTCCATGAACCATCCAGTTATTGGGGTACCACTATGGAAATCCCCATATGCCATGGCCACCCAGGGACACTTCGAAGTTGGGATCCACCTCTCCATGGAATGGCACGCGCCAGCCTCCAGGCCACCGAATCACCCAACTCTGTTGGTATAAGGAAAATTCAGCGAAATGACGATAACAATAACAATCACCAGCAGTTTTAAAGAGTGCCTGCCCGGTACTTTGAACCGATGCATTTCGAAGACAAGAAACACATACGTCGATAAGTGCGTAAACTAATTGGTTTACGATAAATAAGTGGTTTACGATTATATAGAGAGATACAGCAAATGCATATCACGTTATATTCCAAGCACTATTCGTCACTAGTTTTGAAATAAACAATGTCTCAAGAGTTACCATCAAGAGCTACCATGATTTGGCAACCCAATAATGAACCATCCTCCATTGGGCTTTATACCAGGGATATCCCCTGTTCTGGATATGTACAATGAACCCCAATTACATAGAACTCAATCTATTTCTACAAGTGTAATTATACATGTTGAAGTAAATACATGTAAATACTACCTATTTCTAGTCAAATTGGGGATGGGTTCATTATTGGTGTTACCACATGATATACTGTATATATATATATATTATAGCTGAACAATTTTGGTGTGCGATCAGTGCGGTCCCATCCAATGCACAGGAAGACCCTGATCCACAGTTCCTCTCCGTTTGCAAAGCAATGACTGTGACCTCTTTCACGGTCGAATACGGAAGGGACTTTGCGGGCTGACTGCCGCAACCTTTTGAATTCATGATAGACGCCGCGACGAAAGTCCCAAAAGGCCGATGCAAAAAAAAAAAATGTATAATTATATATATATATAGTGTATATATAATCATATATATATATATACAATACATCTTATATATAATACAGAACATATATAAAATACATATAATGCTATATGTATCAAGGTATCACCTGACTGTTCCCTCCCCATGCACCTGACTGTGGTGGTGCATCACTGCTTTCAGCGTCCGGATGGAAGGCCACCACTTTGTCGCCGCCCACGGCGGGCCCGAACCTCGGAGGCTTTCAGCGGATTCCCAGGATCCCAAGCATGGTCACACAGTGAGGTCACGATCAAATTCAACCAGAACGGATGATATAATGATGATATATATCATTAATTATATATCATGGTTGAATTCATTATATATTCAACCATGATATATAATTCATGATGATAATATCATATAATATCATGGATTTATAATTCAACGGAGTTTTTACATTGATGATGAAATCATGTATTTTCCCCTCGGGAATATAGATCAAATATTGATATGCCGATGTAACCAAGAAAAACAATTGGCAATTGGTAATCTGAATAGGCTACAATGACTCCTTCACCAAATTTGTTGACCAGCAAAAATGCTGGTTTCCACATCCCAAGATGCCTCGGCAGGATGCTCAGATAAACATAGATAAACTAGGCATAAACTACAATCGAACCTTGCGGTCTTTGATTCAAAACTTCTAGCACTGTTGGGTGGTGGTGATCGGGGCGGTATCTACCGAAGATGGATTGTCTGGGGGTAATGTTCCACTTCGCAACATGTTGAGGACCAAACCACCAACCCTGAAAGTCGGGCACGTCATCCGACCAAAAATAGAGGTAGAAAGCCTCGCAACAAAAACAAAAGCGCTTGGGATAGCTTGGGAGCCAGAGACTCCCAACTCCTGACACGAAGCAGTGGGTGATGGCCTCGGGACTTTCCTCTGACACCTCCTTCAAGTAAACCACTTTGCCGTGGTTCTGAAATCCAGCGTACCTCGAAAACGATGAACCACAGGATGAACTTGGTGCAGGGATTCTGGGTAAATTTGTAATCTCTCACAAACCTTGAAGTGAAGTGATTTCGGGATATGGCAGTGTGTCAAAACCTTGTACCCCTAGTGAACCCCAAAATAGCTGGTAAATGGATGTTCATCCCATTAAAAATGGTATTAATAGGTATTGACCCATACCCATATGTGGGGTTGTTTCCCCTGCTCACCATGATTTATGATAAATCTGAGGTCAGGGAGGCTGCAAATTGCCAGATACTTGACCCGTAGCTGGTGAAAGTCTTCGTTGGTGCCATGTTTTGTCTTCGACCCTGGATGGGCGCACTTGTAGGAGCCGCAAAGGAGTGCTGCAACGGCCGGATCCGAGCACTTAGCCACCCGAAGCCTCTTTCCGTCATCCTGCAGCGGATTTTTCTCATTTTTAAGTCAAAAAAAATATTTTGGGGACGCCATGCTCAGACTTCTCCCCTGGAGAGGTAAGTCAAAATGATTGACCCCCAATGGTGGTGTCCTTTGAAAAGAAAACAAGTTGCTGCTCGGGGTGTATCATCTGGCAACGACAAAAAGATGTTGATGAATGAAGAGTTGGGTACAGCAAAGCGAAACGGTACTCAGTGACCCGTAAGAATCGTCCTTGTGAGTTTGAAACCATGCAATCTTGCTGGCATATCATGCTTGATCCATTCTAGCCATCCCCGTTTAAAAACAAACTGTTTATTCATTGCCATGTATTGTGTTTTCTCCCTTACAACTGCAGTTGAGCCATCCCTATTGACATGAAAAGTGCCATGTCCATCTGTTGTTGTTTTCCGCCTCCTGCATTGGGCCTGGACAGTCCTCCTGGGGCATTGGACAGGCCATCCATTGGGCTAACCACTCGGGCACCCGAGCAGCTAGCCCTCCCCTGTCGGCCTGAAGCAATGGAACTAATCCCATCCTCAAGTCATGAACAGATGCAATAGCTGCAATACAAAAAAATCAGGTTTTCTCTTTTGGGGCATTGAATATTGGGGGGTTTGGGATGGCTTATTTATTTTTTTTTACTGGAAATGCTGAAACAGCCCTTGAAATGGGATGATTCCCCCCATGTTGGATGGGATTGATGAAGCAAAAAATTCTCGGAAGATGTTTCAGCACCAGTCGTCCTCCCATGGACTATCAGTTTATCCAAAATCCAATTCCCATTAAATGGTTCCTTTATTGGTATTACCTCATTTTCAGACACATCCATCTGGCTGAATTATGGTACTTGCCGCTGAAGGCTTGGGGATGATTCCCCTGATACTGTCCTAACCATCATTCCAGTGACGTCGTCTTCGTGAGGTCATGATCGAATTCATCCAGATCCACATAGATTTGGGGATGGGTCAAAAACCCTGGTACCTAGTGAACCCCAAAATAGCTGGTAAATGGATGTTCATCCCATTAAAAATGGTATTAATAGGTATTGACCCATACCCATTTAAAGTTTTAGAAGTATAGAAACCTCCATTTTGCCATGATTTTCCCCTGATTTTCGCTTTTCCAGGGATTTCCCAACTGCCTCCATGGCCACCAGCATCGACTCGGCAATGTGCCGCAGGAGCGGCAAAAACGCCTTTTCAGAGTCCTCGGTGTTTGCTGCGGAGGGGTACCCCTGGATGGTTTATTTCATGGGAAATACCTTCTATGTATTATAATAGTAATAATAAGATTATTGTAATGCGATAGTAATAATGGAAAAATCATGGTAATAATAATATATAATAATCATAATGGAAAATGTCATCTGGAAATGGATGATGGCGGGTACCCGCATGACTTAGGAAACCTTCATACAACTGTTGGAGATAATAATAATGATGACAATAATGATAATAATAATAATTATTATTATTACATAGCAATAATACTATAGTAATACTCTCATATAATCGTACATACGTATGCATGTGTCTGTGTATACATTTTATATATATATATATATATGCCAAATATGTTGATATTCCAAATGTATTTATCGTATCAAATCATATCTCACATATAATGTGATAAACCCACTAATAAACCTTACACCCATCTACACTATTTGACCATTTGGAAAAGATGTAAACACCTACCCACCTTGCATTACAGTAGATCATCCTGTCTTTTATTCTGAAAAATTGTGTATACCCTAAATCCACTGAATTGCCGATAGTTCTCTCTATCAGCATTATTCAAGAGTATCCCATTTTCATGCGTACCCACTCCCACATGTCGCATACATGATAATTGTATGTGTGTATATATATACATACATTACATTACATTACATTACATTACATTACATTACATTACATACATTACAAACATAACATAACATAACATAACATAGCATAACATAGCATAACATAACGTAACATAACATAACATAACATGACATAACATAACATAACATAACATACATGCATACATACATACATACCGGTATGCATATACATACCTAGATAAATTTACAAGTGTATCCCACTTTATGTATGGTTTATCCCATTATAGAGATATATATATATATATACAACGTATTCAATCAGTATATATATATGCATAGTATGTATGCACATACACATCTACATTCATACTTCTATCCATATTTATGATCACATCAGATACTATAACAAAAAAGTAAGATGATACAATACATCGTTGAATTTCAACTGCCCGGGGGTACACATAGCTCCTGCGCAAGTTCTCGATCCGCATCGACGCGCCGCGTCTCCGGCCAGAAGCTCCGGAGGACCTTCAGGGGGCAGCAAAATTAGGGATTTCACCAAAAAATCCTGTTTTTTTTCCATGTTTCATTGTTGTCATGGGGATTTTTTGTTTATATGACTTATTAATGTATTTATATACATATATATATATATATATATGTGTGATAGCTAGCAATAGCTACTAGCAGTTCTTTGCTAAATTGGTAAACTCCCTGCCTAAGATTTCACTGGGTTTGTGATATACATTGTAAAGAGTGTATGAAGCAACTTTGACACAACGACCCCGTTGCTTTGTTTACTGGGGAGTCTCCATTTTTGGGTTGACAATTAAATGAAATGTTGAAATTGTATGGTTTTAAACACTGATATCTGGGGGGGTCTCCGCAGTCAAAGTGGAGTTGCAAGAGGGTAACTCGGGCAATAGTCCGAGAAAAACGCAGAAAGTGTGGCAAAGTTTGTTGAGTTGTGACTGAACTGTTTGAAAGATACAAGAGAAAAAACCATTCTCAAAGCGTCAAATACCCAGTATGCGTTTAAAATCTATGGTGCGAGAATCTACCCCACTCATCTTATCGCAGATTAACAAACCCTTGTTACAGCAATAAATCTTGGAGGCCATCCCCAAGGAGGGACTTCAATGGCTAGAACGGAAGCCCCCAAATCAATCAGCCCAAGGGTTTGGCAATTGATACTCTAGGCTTGACATGCCATCGCCAGCCCCAGCCTCTTCATTCACGTGCACGCCACTCTGGGCTGCTCGCAAAAAGAAACATCCCAAGACCACGGGAATGGCACGCGCATGGTTTCCTGACGCCAGGGCTCTCGCACGCAGGGATTGTTTTTGGTGAAAAAGCGAGACGTCGAGACAGGTCTTGTAATAAAAATTATGATGATGATGATGATGATGATCACCATCATCATCATCACAACAACAATATTACAACAATATTACAACAGTATATGTAATAACAACGATAATAACAATAATGATAGCAATAACAACAATAAAAACAACAATAATAGTAAAAAAAACAACAATAATGACAATAGTGTGTGTGTGTGTGTCCATGTTCGCCCCAGCCCAGACGTTCGCCCACATCCAAACATAACACACACAAACAAGATTCGTTGCCAACTGAGAATGAACGAAAACACTGGCTATACGGTTATACTCGGTGTTTTTGACTTTAGGTTTCAGGATATAGGGTTTAAGGTTTTGGGTTTCGATTTTCCCCAATATAAAAGTATACCTAATATGTATGAAAAAATATCATGCGCATTTGTATACCCATAGATATACATATAGTATATACATATAGACAGATATAGATATATAGATATAGAGATAGATAGGTATAAATATATAATATATATATATATCAAATACCCCCTACCTCCAAACCCTGGTTTTGTACTGGACCGATTCATCTTCGATTCCCCTGTTCAAACAATGTCATGTCAGTTGGCTGGGATTTTAAAACTGCCCAAGGTTTCCCCAGAGACCAAACAGAAGTGGGACATGGAGTTAGTTAACTAATTACTAAGTTGCTTATATTACAATGTGCCTATAATTCATACAATATGTTACCAATAGTACTGCACAAGGCGGTGGCGGAAGTTTCAAAAATAGGAAACCTATAGGAGAGGTTGGTTGTTGTGAATCACGGATGGCAGAGCGAATCCACTGATGGACCGAAAGGTGGTTGGAGTTGTGTTTTCTGGAGTCACTGTTCACCTCACCACAACTGCTGGATGTAGTGTGGTGTAGTGCAGTTGTAGTTCTAGTATAATGTGGTGGAGCTGTTGTATGTAGTGTAATTAGTGTAGCGTAGTTGCAGTTGCAGTTGTATTTGTGCTGTGGTGTAATTAGTGTAGTGTAGTGTATTGTAATGTTGTGTACTCTAGTGTGGTATAATGTAGTGTAGTCTAGTGTAGTGTAGCGTAGTGTAAAGTAGTGTAAAGTAGTGTAGTTGTAGCTGCAGTTGTAGTTGTAGTTGTAGTGTAGCGTAGCATAGGGTAGGGTAGTGTAGTGTAGCGTGAAGTAATGTAATGTAATGTAAATGTAAGTGTAAATGTAAATGTAAATGTAAATGTAAAGTAATGTAATGTAATGTAGTGGCAGATGTAGTTGCAGTTGTAGTTGCAGTTGTAGCGCAGTTGTAGTGGTAGTGTAATGTAATGTAATGAAAATGTAAACGTAAATGTAAATGTAATGATGTAATGTAATGTAATGTAATGTAATTAGTTTAGCGTAGTATTGTGTAATGTAGTATAGTTGTAGTTGCATGTGTATTTGTAGCTGTACTGTGCTGCAGTGTAATTAGTGTAGTGTAATGTAGCGCAGTTGTAATTCTAGTTGCAGCTGTGGTAGCAGCTGTGGTAGTAGTAGTAGTAGTAGTAGCAGCAGCAGCAGCAGTAGTAGCAGTAGTAGTAGCAGTAGTAGTAGCAGTAATAGTTGTCGTAGTAGTAGCAGTAGTAGTAGTAGTAGTATTAATAATAATAATACTTGTTGTAGTAGTAGTAACAATACTTGTAGTAGTACTAATAATCATACTTGTAGTAGTAGTAATAATCATACTTGTAGTAGTAGTAGTAGTACTACTACTACTACTACTAGTTTTAGTTTGGAAATGTGCTTCGCGCCACAACAGCCTGCAATTTTCAACATCTCAACTTCCTAACGTGCTCTGAACCTGGTGTGTTTTTTTACATTTTGACTTCGACATGTGCTTCGCGCCACAACGGCCTGCAATTTTTCAACATCTCAACTTCCAAAAGTGCTCCGAACCTGGAGTGTTTCTTACATTTTGACTTCGAAATGTGCTTCGCGCCACAACGGCGTGCATTTTCTCATCATCTCAACTTCCAAAAGTGCTCCGAGAATGGTGTGCTTTGTAAGTTTTGACTTCGAAATATGCTTCGCGCCACAACGGCGTGCACTTTTTCATCATCTCAACTTCCAGAAGTGCTCCGAGAATGGTGTGCTTTGTACGTTTGACTTCGAAATATGCTTTGCACCACAATGGCGTGCACTGATTCATCATCTCAACTTCCAAAAGTGCTCCGAGAATGGTGATCTCTGTACGTGTTGACTTCGAAATATGCTTCGCGCCACAACGGCGTGCAATTTTTCATCTCTTATCTGGCTAGATGGCTCCGCGTCCGCCGCTTTAGCGAGCCTACTTTTCGATCCTCCGGAGACACAAAACATTGGAAAAATATAGTGTTTCGCGACTTTTCTACCTTTTCGCGCACCTGCGTTTTCTTTCCTCTGACTTTTTCTATTCTCGGATCTGCTTACTTCTTCTCTTCTCTTCTCTGACTCTTCCCACCTCTGCTTTTCCATCTGTCCATATTGTCGGAAGTTTGACTTCTAAACTTCCTTCGATAATATACCAGTAGTACCGCACAAGGCGGTGGCGGAAGTTTTAAAAATAGGAAACCTATAGGAGAGATTGGTTGTTGTGAATCACGGATGGCAGAGCGAATCCACTGATGGACCGAAAGGTGGTTGGAGCTGTGTTTTTTGGAGTGGCTGCAATGGTTGCAGTGGTCACCTGGTTTGTCACCTCACCCACAACTGCTGAATGTAGTGTGGTGTAGCGCAGCTGTAGTTGTAGTTGTCGTGTAGTGGAGTTGTAGTTGTGGTGTAGTGTAATTAGTGTAGTGTAGTTGCAGTTGCATTTGTGGTGGTGTAATGAGTGTAGTGTAATGTAATGTAATGTATTGTAATGTAATGTAATGTAATGCAATGTGGGGTAGGGTTGTGTAGTGTAGTGTAATTGAGTGTAGTGTGGTGTGGTGTGGTGTAGTGTAG